AAGCCGTTCCAGCCGGGGGAACAGGCCGCAGGGCGCAATGTAGCCCTGGCCAACTTTTGACAATGGCCCTTTAACAAACTTTAGTTTAAAAGCAACGTGTCTAGCATGTGGGCAGGGCCAGGTTAACTCTTCTGGGGCCTGGGGCTACTAGATTTTGTAGGGCCAGGTAGGCTCTGGGGCAGGGAGCAGGCACGTGGGGTCTGGTGGAGAGGGAGGATGCAGGAGGGGGCTGGGCAATGAAGCTGGGGATATTTAAATCCCTGCTTCATTGATTATGTTGGGTAGCCTATTTTACATGCCTCTGTCGGCAGAGGCATGTACTCTAGACATACTCTTAGAACATGATGTGATGCACATGGCTGAGTTCCTGGTCACAATGGAATTATGGGAAAGAAGTTACTCTTTCATGGAGCATAGAGACCCTGAGAAGTCTTCATGCTCTTCAGTGCTTTTTTACATAAATGGAAGGAGTTAACTAAAATCCAGTCACCTTAGGACACAGGGCTGATATGTCTAATTCACTGTCATCTTCTGTGGACTTTGGTTTTGCAGTTTCTGAAAGAAAATTACAGTTAGTTATTGTCTAATCCTACTCTTATGACAAAGCATTTCTAAGTTATTTCTATTATCTCTGTACAACAGGTTAAGCTACAGCTCATTAAATGATGTAATTGTATTATGGGCTTCATTTGTTAACACAATGAATTATTCATATATTATACTAGAGGGCTGCGCCCCCTACTTGCTACACTTGCCAGCCCCCTCTCTCTGTGGGTAGGTGTCTGGCTGGGGGGAGGGTGCAGGAGCAGGCTGGAGTGGGGGTGTGGAGTCTGGAAGGGAGAGAGGGTGTAGGGGACTGAGGCAGCTCCCAAGGGGAACAGGTGGCTCCGCCCAGCCCTGTGCTTGCAGGCATCACCCTCTGCAGCTCCCATTGGCTGCGATTCCTGGCCAATGGGAGAGGCTGGGATGGAGTTGGGTTCTATTCTCAGCTGTTTGAGGAAGTGTGACCCAGGGGTTGGAGTAGCAGGACCGGGCGGCAGGACCCGGGGTCCCCTTCCACGCTGAGAGGGAGGGAAGCAGGGGATTTAGAGCAGCAGAGGGCGGGAGGCAGGAATCCTGGGCTGTCACAAGCATTCTGTGTTTTCGGGCAAGCTGCTTAATTTCTCCGCTTCGTTCCCCTGGGGTGCGATGGTACTTAATGAATTCGGGTTTATCGTCATGTGGAAGCCCAGGACCATCCCACTTGTAGCAATAGTGCCCCTGCAGATGTTTCCTAACCCTGCCCAAGGGGGTGTGCTGCTCACAAGAGGCGACACACAGGCACCTAGAATAGCAGCACAAAGGCCATGCTGGGCTCCCCTGCACCCCCTGCACAGCACAGGCAGGCGAGGACAATGGGCTTCATTACACATCAACAAGCTTCAAACAGCGAAAAGAAAATAATGTTTTGTGTCAGGCAGTTAACCTGCGGAACATGGTGCTGCAGGATGCCGTGGAGACGAGCGGCTCAGGAAGGCGGGACGTGTGTAGGATGAAGAATGTTTGCGGTTACGTTCTGCATCCTCCACACGTCCCGTCTTACAGAGCCGCTCGTCCCCACAGCATCCTGCAAAATCCCATGCTGAGGGGCCGGGCTTACGCGGGGCTGGGGGACGCCACGGGGCTGGGTCGCCTGGTGACAGGCGCTGTGGAGTTTTCCAGCCATCCCCCGAAAGCCCCAACACTGGGAGGCCACGGCTGCCTGGCCTGACCCCCCCTGCTGTGTGTCCCGGCCAGCTTCCCACATCCTCTACAACTCCAAGGAGAGGAGGAAGAACAGCATCAACCGGAATTTCGTGGGCGACTACCTGGGCATGGAGGACAAGCCGGAGCTGCGCCAGTTCATGGGGAAGCGGGAGCGGGTCGACTTCGCCGACTCGGTCACCAAGTACGACCGGAGATTCAAGGTAAACGGGCTCAGCCGGGGCCTGGCGGGGTTCCCCCTTCTCCCCGGCCAGGGGTGGGGCGCAGCCGGCCCTCTCGGGAAGGGAGAGGCACGTCCCAGGCCATGCTCCGTCTGAACGGCTTCTCCGGAGCTCTGCTGTCAGGGCAGGCAGGCAGGTCAGCAGGGGAGCGGCGGGAGCCCCGTCCCCCCCCAGCCGTGGCCCCAAAGCGCTGAGCCCCCTGCCCAGCTGCGCCGCAGGGGCTGCTCCCGGTGCCCCATCCCGCTGCCCCTCTCTCCGCAGCCCATCAAGCGGGACTTCATCCTGACCCCCAAGTTCTTCTACCTGATTGGCCGTGAGAAGGTCAAGAAGGGCCCCGAGAAGGGGCAGATCCGGGAGGTGCTGAAGAAGAAGGTGGAGATCCAGGCCGTCCACAAAGTCTCGCTCAGGTAACCCCGCGCCTCGCCCCTTCCCATGGGGCCAGAGCCTCCTCTGCACCCTCTCCGGGGCAGGTGGACCTGGCGGCTGCTGGGGTTGGGGAAGCCAGGGCCACCCGTGAGAAGGTCAAGAAGGGCCCCGAGAAGGGGCAGATCCGGGAGGTGCTGAAGAAGAAGGTGGAGATCCAGGCCGTCCACAAAGTCTCGCTCAGGTAACCCCGCGCCTCGCCCCTTCCCATGGGGCCAGAGCCTCCTCTGCACCCTCTCCGGGGCAGGTGGACCTGGCGGCTGCTGGGGTTGGGGAAGCCAGGGCCACCTTCCTCTCTCCTCTCCAAGGGCCCCGGCTGGCCTGGGGGTCTGGCTGCACATGGGCACGGCGCCTCCTTCGCAGGGTCCTCAGCTTGGCCCCCCACAGCCGGGGAACCGACCCACCGCTGGGGACCAAGGCCTCGCCGACCGGGGGAGGGGCACGGAAGGGGGGTGCCAGGGGAGGCCCTGGCAAAGTGTCACCCCTACAAGGCAAATGGACCGGCCCCCAGCTTCCACCCCGGGGACCCCCGCACAGGCCGTGTGGCCTCCCCGGCAGAGCCTGTGCCGCCAGCAGGCCCGGGGGGGCTCTGACCCCTCGCCTCTGGCTCCGCCTCTTTGGAACCGGTCCCATATGAGGAGAGGTTAAAGCGACTGGGACTTTTCAGTTTAGAGAAGAGGAGACTGAGGGGGGATATGATAGAGGTCTATAAAATCATGAGTGGTGTGGAGAGGGCCGATAAAGAAAAGTTATTTATTAGTTCCCATAATAGAAGAACTAGAGGACACCAAATGAAATTAATGGGGAGCAGGTTTAAAACTAATAAAAGAAAGTTCTTCTTCACACAGCGTGTAGTCAACCTGTGGAACTCCTTGCCAGAGGAGGCTGTGAAGGCTAGGACTATAATAGAGTTTAAAGAGAAGCTGGATAAATTCATGGAGGTTAGGTCCATAAAAGGCTATTCGCCAGGGGATAGAAATGGTGTCCTTGGCCTCTGTTTGTCAGAGGCTGGAGAGGGATGGCAGGAGACAAATCGCTTGATCATTGTCTTCGGTCCACCCTCTCTGGGGCACCTGGTGCTGGCCACTGTCGGCAGACAGGCTACTGGGCTAGATGGACCTTTGGGCTGACCCAGTCTGGCCGTTCTTATGTTCTTATGTTCTATGTTCTTTGCCCGGCCAGCACGAGGCAGGACGACTTCTTCATCCTCCACGAGGAGGACGCCGACAACTTCCTTGAGTCCATCTTCAAGACGGAGCTGCTGAGCCTGCTGTGCAAACGCTATGAGGAGCTGACCCAGCGCAAGCTGCAGCTCAGCTTTTTGGGCTGACCCAGTCTGGCCGTTCTTATGTTCTTATGTTCTATGTTCTTTGCCCGGCCAGCACGAGGCAGGACGACTTCTTCATCCTCCACGAGGAGGACGCCGACAACTTCCTTGAGTCCATCTTCAAGACGGAGCTGCTGAGCCTGCTGTGCAAACGCTATGAGGAGCTGACCCAGCGCAAGCTGCAGCTCAGCTTCGGTGACACGTGAGCACGGGGCGGGCTTGTGGGGCGGGGGGGGCCCAGCTGGGGCCACCTGCCCCTCGGCTCAGCCCTGTGCTCCCAGCTTTGGGAGGGAAGTGGGGGCTAGTGGTCAGAGCAAGGGGCTTGGGAGGAAGGACTCCTGGGTTCTATTCTCAGTGCAGAAAGGGCAGAGGGGACTAGTGGCTAGAGCTGGGGGAGGCTTGGGAAGCAGGACTGCAGGGTTCTATTGCCAGCTCTGAAAGAGGAGTGGGGGCTAGTGGTTAGAGCAGGGGAGCGTGGGTGGCAGGACTCCAGCTTGGGGAGCCTAGTGGCTAAACTAGCAAGTGGGGGAGGCAGGACTCCTGGGTTCTAGGCCCAGCTCAGGGGTGGTGGGGCAGGTGGGGATTTTACTCGGGGGCGCTGGTGTGGGTCGCTGGGGGAGCCTGGGGCCCAGATTCCCACGTCCGGTGGCTCTAGGGCTTTCGAAGCAGGAGGCCCCCGGGCCCTGACGCTTGTCTCCCCTCTTGCTCAGACTACAGTTCCGGGTGAAGAAGGAAGGCTGGGGGGGAGGCGGCACCCGCGGCGTCACGTTCCTCAGGGGGCAGGGGGACACGGCTGTCCTCAAGGCAGGAGGCAAGACCCTGAACGTCAGCATCGGGGATGGGGCCC